TTTTCCCTCTTCTTCTTTCCCCACCCAACTTGTTCCCAGTCCCGGTCTCCTTGCCCAGCTCTTCCCTTTCTTCCTCCCTGGCTCACTGTCCATTCTCAGTCCCTTCCTACCTAATGGTTCGCAGTCCCTACCATCCCCTCTGCCTGTTTCTTTCCCTGGTTCCCAGTCCTAGTCTCCTTGCCCAGCCAATTTGTCTGCCCCAATCCGGTTCCCAGAGTCAGTCTTCCCTCCACCTCAACTCTCAGCCCCAGTTTCCTTCTCCCTCCTGCTAGCCTCCAGGTTCAGTCCCTGCCCCCGGCCCGAGACACCTTGTCCCAATCTTCTCTACCCCCAGGTTCAGCTCTTGTCCTCTCTACATTTGAATGCAGCAGCTGCCTGGGCTCAACAAAAGGCGTTTTGAAAGCACAGGAAGGAAAGTCTCTCTCCTTTCAGTTCTAGTGCTTGGACCTAGCATGGTCCATCGCAGACCAGAGTTCAATTGCAAGGAAAGTCCTGCTCATCCCCCTGCAGCCTGGCTGCACATGTGTGAACTGCACAATTTTTCAAAGGCTTATGATTTGGCCAAATTTGGGCAGATTTTCATAGTTCTAGCAAAAGACACATCGTTGACTTGAGGGCCACTGCCTGCCACATTTCAAGTCCCTGCTCGAAAGCACAGAGGTGATAGGGCTTCTCAAAGAAAAGGTCACCAGAATTTTTTAATGAGGGCAAAACAATGTATTTTTTCCTACCCTCATTCTTGGAAAAGCTGAACTGTTTTGGCTGAAATTTTTCAGAAAAATTCAGCCTGAAGCAGACACCTGGCAGGGAAAAATTCAGCCCAAACAATAAGTTAAAAGCAACTGAACACAGGATCGTATAGTTGGAAGTGTTGGACAACCTTAAAATAGGTGGTGCTACTAGCCCCCGTAGCCCATAGAGAGAGAGAGAGAGAAAATGAAGGCATTATTGCCCCTTTTAATTTCCTGTGACAAATAATGTGGCTCTGAGAGTTTTCGTATTAGGCTAGAAGATGTACATATCATTTGATTCTATTAACCACAGTAACCAGTTCTGAAGACAATTCCCCTTGGCATACTGGGAAGGGTGGTGTGTTTCCTGAGGGGAGTCAATATATAGTAGTCATCAACAGTGCTCCGTCTAATTTTTCCCACCCATGTGCGGAATGAATTTTGTTATGTTCACCAATATGCACCGGGTCCGGATTGGGTCGGGCTGGGCCACCTTGGCCGCAGCTGGGTCTAGGGCCGGTCGGGGCCGGGCTGCTCCGGCCGCAGCTGGGTTCAGGCCAGGGTAGGGGTGCCCTGGACTGTCCGGGCACTGCGGCAGAGTTGGGGCTGGGGGAGGGGCACCCCCTCCCCGGGCGGGTTCCCTGAGTGCTTGCGCAGTGCTAAGAAGGTTGCTGTGCAGCTTACAGGGAATTTAGGATCAGTATATGACATCTCGGCTACGACCATGGCAACAATAGCATATTCTATAACACTCGTCCTGGAGGATTTTGTATTAAAGTTGATAATACCTGTAGGGAGACCTGGGTGGCTTAAGTGGTGCATAGGCCTTGTGCTCTCTGTCTGTAGAAGACTGAATTTCACCCAGAAAAAGCAATTAATAAGCAGAGCTGGACATGTAGGATACTAGTGTGATTCTTATTCAGCGTGCTTCAAACAAGCCAAAAAATGTTTTAACTTCTGTTAAGTGAAACAAGAGTGACTTCAGGTGGGCAGGCAGGTGGGTTATTTCTCAGAGAACCCACAAGGCATCTCATGGTTTATGTTTATTGCTATAGAAGGGGTAATCATAATTCAGACTGGATTCAGTTAATCTTATGTTAAAAGAAATGAAAAACCTGGTTTAGGCCAGATCCTACCATCGATGTAGACTCTATAAGATGCACCTCTATAAGATGTAGAGACCTCTGTTTTCTTGTAGTCTTCTTCAGTGTGTAAAATAACTGAAAAATGTAATCATCTGAGTAGGGCCCTACCAAATTCACGGCCATGAAAAACACATCACGGATCGTGAAATCTGGTACAGTATAGGGTAAAGTACACAAAAGAGCAGATTTCACAGGGGAGACCAGCATTTCTTAAACTGAGGGTCCCAAAACAAAAGGGAGTTGTGGGGGAGGGTTGCAAGGTTATTGTAAGGGGGTCACAGTATTGCCACCCTTACTTCTGCACTGCCTTCTAGCTGGGTAGCCAGAGAGTGGTGACTGCTGACCAGGTACCAAGGAAGGCAGCGTCCCGCCAACAGCAGCACAGAAATAAGAGTGGCAATATCATATCATGCATCCTTATTTCTGCGCTGCTGCTGGCGGCAGCAATGCCTTTCCAGCTGGGCTCCTGACCAGCAGCTGTTGCTTGCCGGCCGCCCAGCTCTGAAGACAGCGCTGCTGCCAACAGCAGCGCAGAAGCAAGGGTGGTAATTCCACAACCTCCCTACAATAACCTTGCAACCCCCCCACAACCCCTTTTGGATCAGGACCCCTGCAGTTACAACACCATGAAATTTCAGATTTAAATATGTGAAATCATGAAATTTACGATTTTAAAAATCCTATGACCATGAAATTGACCAAAATGGACCCTGATTTGGTAGGGCTCTAAACTCATTGATCATTAATCCACCTTTTACTTATTTATGTATAAATTCTATCACTGCCACTTACATTATCTAGATTGGGTAGCCAGGGCTTTTTATTAAACCACTTAAGGCAAATGCTAGTTAGGTATACAAGTGGAACCTGCCTTTTTGACTTCATGGACATTCATTAAAAATTAGATTGGCATTTGTGAATATTGAAGATAAATTGCCCACAGAGACATTCAATATTTCACATTTGTTTAATATTTTTAAAGGCACCTATTGAAAACAAAGCACAAAGTTCAAAGTTATTTTGATTAGCATAAGGAGTTCCATCTGAGTCTCCCAATGATGTAGAGTCTTTTAATTATGACATGAGACACTACAGTTCAAGTAGTGCATTGTGGGTTACACATTTTCAAGCAATGAGAAACAATATATTGGCAACTGTTAATGCCATTTCATGGGGAAAATGTATAAATCAATAGTGGACTTGCAATAAGAAAGATTGTTTACAGTACAATTAGCCTGGTCTTAATCTTGAATGCTTGTTAAGATTTAACCAGGGATCACGGGGCTGTCCTTTCAGGCCTTACTCAGAGACCACACCACTTCAGGTCTCCTTCATCACCACTGTGTTTTATTGTTTTGTTCCAGCAGGCCTCTGCCTGTAGTGCTATTTACAAGCCCCAGCCAGCTCCCCCATTTGCTTTTGGGGAAATGAACACAGCTAGCAGCAGCAGCCAGCCCTGTCTATCTCTGCCTTCCTTAAGGCTCTCAGTGCTCCCTTCTAGGGTCTTCATTCCTATTCCCAGCTGTTGGAATGGCTTCCCCATCTAATTAGCCCCTGAGCTGTAGGTGTACTCTGTTGATTGACCTCCCAGTTAGGTCTCAATTAACCTATATTGGTGGTGATTGAGGGATAGGATGCTGAGTCAGCTGTTGGCTCAGCACACTCTGTCTCAAAGGGCCTGTAACTCAAGGGAAAAAACAACAACTGGGTTTTATTAGGTTGGTGTCATAAAAGTGTCTTGCCAATGTTTAAATAATTACATGAGAACTTAATTATATTTCCTCTGAAAAATCAGTGCTAAACTGACCATGTGATACACTGATAAAGCTGATGTCTTAAATCAAAGAGAAGTATTAGAAGTGTCATTGTGTAGTGTCTAAAGTATTAGAAGTGTCCTTGGCCTGGTCCACACTACCCCCCCACTTCGGACTAAGGTACGCAAATTCAGCTACGTTAATAACGTAGCTGAATTCGAAGTACCTTAGTCCGAACTTACCGCGGGTCCAGACGCGGCAGGAAGGCTCCCCCGTCGATGCCGCGTACTCCTCTCGCCAAGCTGGAGTACCGGTGTCGACGGCGAGCACTTCCGGGATCGATCCGGGATCGATTTATCGCGTCTAAACCAGACGCGATAAATCGATCCCAGAACATCGATTGCCTGCCGTCGGACCCTCCGGTAAGTGTAGACGTACCCTAAGTCTCTACATTTCAGAAGCCAAAATCACTGTGACAAAACAGTGCGGTTGTTTTTGCACAGGTATAAATTAGGGTCCCGATCCTGGAAAAAATATATGCACATGAGTAACTTTATGCACATGAGTAGTCTTCCTGAGTTGAATGGGACTAATTATGGACATAAAGTTACTTTCATATGTAAGTGTCTGCAGGATACAAAAATGTACATTACTAATCTTAGTTGTCTATATTATAGAGCCCCAGTCCAGTAAGAAGATCTGCTCACATGGATCCCTGCAATTGCATTAAGCCACATTGAAGTCAATGGGGGTCTGCATATTTGCGCAAGGATCTACCCTCAACCATGCCACTCAGCAAAGTCTTTGAATTGCACTGTGACACATAGTGAGGTCTCCTTAGATACTTTAATCACTCTAGCTCTTACACACAAGTATCATATGTGATTTGTTGTTATAAAGTACCTCTACATTTTTTATTAAGTAAATAAATTCTTTCAAGCTCCTGTCCCCAACCATGATTAATAATTACATGCAGAAAAATTCAACTATAGGGGGAAATAATTTTAATATTTTCTCTTTACTGCTTTTTCTTATTTACATTCAGTTAATTTTTTAAAACTAAATCAAATTTTTCTCCAGGATTTAGGATTAAGTCAGTGGCTTACCCAATAATGGAGCCCATTGTATCTTTCAGGAAATTGTTACATCTGGACAAATTGAAATTAAGGAATGGGGTTTTCCCCATCTCCCTATATAGATTATTTTCAAGATGTAGCACTATGCAAGGGGGATTATTTTCTCATAATTAAAACCATAATAACTGAGAAGTGGTTTTTTTAGAAGTTTAATATCAGGGAGGGGATAGTGGTTAAGGTTTGACCCCTGTCATGGTAATGAAGTAAGTGGTGTGAACACATTTAACACTCCCATTACCTAATCCAGGGTGACCATTTTATAACGGAATCCTTACCATTCACTCTAATTTTATCATCTCCATCACTGTCAACTGCTGCCAGGGAAGCCTTAGTCTTGGCATCAGTCAAAGTTCTGATACTTGTGGAGAAATTCTGCAGGAAGAGCCTGTCAAAAAATGAGAGGACAAATCAGTGAAATATGCCCAGAGCAGAACAGACGTAATATGTGTTATTGTTTGTGGACCTCTAACCCTGTGCTCAGTATTGTACAAAACATAGAGGAAAACACCATGCGTGAAAACCTGGCCCTATTGAAGTCAATAGCAAAACTCCCATTAAATTCAGTTGGAACAGGATTTTACATGTCTGCCTGAGAAGTTTACCATGCAATGATAAAAAAATAAGTGAAAGTTAATTACAAATGTGTTTTAGGGGAGGAAGAGGCTATTTGCATCGAAGTATGAAAAGTCCTCAGCTGAAATCCTGGCTCCATTGAATTCAATGGCAAAATTCCCATTGACTTCAGGAGGTCAGGATATCATCCCTGGAAATTTAGACTGATGATATGACCAGTAACAATTTAGCCATCCTAACTTTTATTTCAAAATGAGATTCAGATGATTAGCTTCTTTAAGATTAGGGTTGTAAGAAGTCGATAGCCATTAGAATTTAGAGCACAAAAGCCAAAACCCAGCAGAACTGCTGTTTTTCAATCATTTTAAAAGCCTGTTAATTATCCTCATACAAAATAAATATTTTCAGAGCTATGTAACTGACTTGTCCTTGTGCTCCATGCTTTTTGAACTTCCTATTGTTCTCTTCTTGCAGTGGACACTAGGAAATAAAATAAGCCGGGAACCCAAGTGTTTTTTCTTAAATATTTTTCTTGTGGTTTTCAGCCCAAACACAAATGGAAAAAAGTGAGTAATTACAACCTAGGTTTCAAAAACACAGATCAGAATAAGTCTATTTCTAATCCCATGCTGGAGTGCATTTTGTGATTGTGAAGGCTGAACTTGTTTGTAGTGTTTTGATCCACTTACTTCAGCTCATCTTCCTCAGTTAAGCCACTCCTATCAAGGGCAAGGATTCCAAAGACTTTGGCCAGCTGTTCTTGGACTTGGAGTTCAGACCCACTTTGATGACAAAGGTTTTGTAATCGAAGGAATCTGCGGCTGAGGGAGGTCAGTGAGAGAGGATAGAGAAGAGAGGTTAGAGATTAGGAACCTGAAAAGAGGCCTCAGTTTTTTCCATTTGTTATATTCACCAAATTACAAAGAGGCTGTTTTGCTCCTCAGCACAATGAAGCTCCTCAATAACTCTTTGATTTTCTTAGTCTATTTCAGATGAGCTGAACATTTCAATCATTGATCTCTCTTAAGCCTAGGGAGAAAAGCTAATGACTCTGGGCTCATTCCTGCAGAGATTTACATGTGCAAGTATTTAAGTCACTCATATAAGTAGTTTTCACTGAACTCAGTGGGTGAAATCCTGACCCAATTGAAGTCAATGGGAGTTTTATCACTAACTTCACTGAGGCCAGGATTTCCTCCCTTGTGACTATTTTTCTGATTAAAGTGACTCACATGCATAAGTGTTGGGGGAATTAGGCCCTAGGCTGAGTACAGGATAAAACTCACATATATTCTACCTCCTTGCCTTATTGGGGGGAGAATACAAGTAGAAATGTAGTTTGTAAAACAAATGTGGGGCGATAACCTTGTCATGGACACTAGAAATGGTAAATCATGTTAGGTTATTTCAGGCTATCTGGTTGCCTTTTCTGTTTCTACTGGAACTGAGTGATTGGATGGCAGGGAAAGGGGAATTTGAAAGGCAAAGAGAAAAAGCAGGAGGCTTTTAAAAGGCAGGCATTACTGTGGCAGCTCGGTAGGCCAGCAGCGATTTCAGCATCATTAAGGATACCAGTGAGAGCCACGTCAAAGTTACAGGGAAGAGGCAAACAAAATAAGCTGGCGCTAATACAAACAGTGATGATGGGCAAGTACTATTTTCAAGTACAGGCTGTTGGAGAGCTTAGTGTGAGATATGTCTGCAGCTCCAGCAATGGCCAGCAGAGCCATTGAATGTTGATCTTGGCATATTGGCCTCTACCACTGCCAGATGGGGACATGTCCTTAGATCTGCAGGAGGCAACAGCAACACAGGCCACAGTTTTGCCTAGGGGAGGTGTTCCTCTGAAGCACTGAATGTGGTTCTTCCCTTTAGCAAGTTCTTTCATTTGGCCACGTGTTTTTCATCATAGGTTGTAGTGGATTCTCTCCAGTTGATCCTTCAGGTTGATGATGCCAGCACAAAACCAAACACCCTGTAAAAACTACAGCTTTTGAGGTTCAGTTTGAGATACACAGTTATATCCAAGTAGGTTTTTTTGAATGGGTCAGTGAGAGACCTGGGGGGAAAAACCCACCAACAATAACAAAAACCAAACCCCCAAAACAACAAGCAAAAAGCTCAACTCACCCTGTTGATGGATTTTTCCCAAGCTGAGAGGAGAAGGAGGCAGAAAAATAATAGTGCTCTTCGCTTGATTTTTTGCTTGGTGGAGACCTTGACATATAGGCTTTAGTTTAGACCTGTCAGACCTTTCACAGAAGTCGTAGAACCATGTCAGGGCTCAGATGTCAAAGGGGAGGAGATACTATAGCTGTTAGCTAATCAGATTGATATTTATATCATAGAGGATTGTACATGGTGTTTTAGACAATATGATAAGGTTTAGAGCCGTACGAGGTAAACCCACTCAAGTCACTTGTACCTAATTTTAGCAAAGTAAGTGATTTTTTTGAACTATGGATGAAAAAGGTTTTAACAACTTGATATTGCTTAGGCTACAGTTACTGAAATATATGTCTGCACCGCTAGACTTTGAAGTCTTAGGGCCTGATCCTGCTAACCTTTATGTTCTCCTGTTAGTAGTCCTATTGACTTAAGTGAAACTGCTCACGCGAGTAAAGTTTGTGTGTAAAGCGTATATAGCATTTTTCCTTCTAAAGAATCTCAAAATGCTTTTTAACAAGCTAGATACAGAGTTCAGTTAATCTGTTACTGAAACATGTCATTTTGATTGTAAGTTCTTCGGGGGGAAGAGACTTTGCCTTTTCATTTCTGTAAAGCTCAATGCAAAACCATTGCATCATATACACTTTAAATAATAACAACAATGATAAATGCAACCACTTCTGGGGGTGGTGTGTGTCAGTTGTTTAACGGCACACAGGAATATACAGCAGTTTCAGAAAGGGAGTGAAAATAATTTGATGTTTGGGAAGAGCTGGTAAAATAAAGACTGACAGTTATCTGTTATCCCATGAAGTTGCCCCCTCAACCTCTTTCAAAAATAGCATGAGTCAAAGACAGAGACAGAAACTTCACCTTACATTTATCAGCTTGTGTTGGTTACCTCTGCAGTGCTGTTTACATTTAAAAGAGGAGCTAATTGTATAATTCTAAAACTGTGTTATGTGGCAAACTAAGCATCCTGGAAACAAAGATATGGGGGCTCTGTAGTATCAGTTTAATACTGAATATGTCCTTTCTCAGGCATCTTGTCCTGAACTGGCAGGAGGGATGAACTTGATGAACGAATCAGTCTTCCCTGTCTCTAACTTCCATAATCCTAGTCTTGTCTATTTGCAGCTCCTGTTAACAGTAATCGGAATTACACATGTGCTCAGAGAAGAGCTGGGGTAATGGCAGGTGTTGGTTATCATTCAAGAAGGAACTCACTGTACCACTCCTGTCTGGAATTCACACTACACAGGAGCTGTGAGTACCCCTAGATCTGGCAGCTGAGTTCTAGTCCAGCAATTCTCAACCAGGGGTCCGGGGGCCCCTGGGGGGCTGCGAGCAGGTTTCAGGGGGTCGTCCAAGCAGGATTGGCATTAGATTTGCTGGAGCCCAGGGTGGAAAGTTGAAGCCCCACCATGTGGGGCAGAAGCCCGGGCCCCCGAGTCCCACCTACCGGGACTGAAGCCGAAGCTGGAGCAACTTAGCTTTGCGGGGCCCCTTGTGGTGTGGGACCCCTGGCAATTGCCCTGCTTGCTACCCCCTAAAGCCTGCCCTGGCTTTTAATCTACTGGATATGCAGAAAAACAGTTGTTGTGGCACGGGTGGGCCGTGAAATTTTTATAGTATATTGAGGGGACCTCAGAAAGAAAAAGGTTGAGAACCCCTGTCAACGCTAGAACCTTTGTTGTTATTTAGGAATTGTTATTGGAACTAAAAGCCAAATGTGATGTAAATCTACAAATTTTTTTTGACTCCCATTGCCTTTGTTTGTTTTTTTAAAAAAGAAGTATTTACTAATAAAACTTGTAATGTCATGTTTTGATGAGACAAGGTTGGTGATTAACTCCAGTTGCCCTGTAGGTGGCACCAGAGGCAGTCAAGTCCAACTGTCACACAAACTCTCTGGAGAACATTTGGCCTAAATAAGAGCTGAAGAACCCCAGAACTGCATTTCTAAAATATGCCAAAAGTGTCTAGAAAAAATAAGATGAGAGTAAACAAAATAAAACCATTTTGTATGATTTGGGCAGTACATACGGAACTTAATTTGTGCCGGGGTTTGCCAGGGCTGAGCCCTGGCACCTCTAGGCTTGTTAGTTCATAGCCCCAGCACCTGTGGGTTTGCCATGTCAGTTATGAAAGTAAAAAAATTGCTTGAGCCCCGGCACCGCTTTCATTACAAATTAAGCCCTAAGTAATTCAGCATTGAGAATAGAAAGTGGACTAGAGGATTTAGATTAAAAAGAAAAAAGTCCCCCTAAGTTTACAAAATGACCAGCCAGTCTCCTTTTTTCAAGATACTGAAGATGCTCTAGCAGGTGTACAGGTCAGTCCGAAGGAGATCACTGGAAGCAGGAGGTTGATTTGTTTTAGAAGCCCATTAGTTAGTACCAGCAGTTCTAGTGCCTCCTGGGAGGTCTTCAAAAGTCTTCTATCTGATTAAACAATGTTCTCCCTTCAGAAGGCAGACATTCCTACCCCCTGAATCTGGCCTGGGTTCCCCCATGGATGCTATCAGGGTTGTCATAACCAGCCTGAAAGGGCACGGGAACAGCAATACCTTCAGACTCCTAATAGGAGTAACTGTCTAAGGGTATCTACTGGGCTCCCAAGTGGTAATGTAACTGCCATGGTATGTGGATTATCTCCACTGGGCCTTGATCCAGTTCTTCTGTACCTACAGCAACTCCTCCTTTTCCTGCTACCCAGGGAGTGGTACACCGCGAGAAGAAAATCCTGAGCTGTGGAGTAGCCATTTCCCATTGAAAGTGATGTACAAATAGGCTACCGGTAACCCTAAATTGTTGTTATGCAACCTTTGTGTGCTTGCAAGTAAAATAATTTGGAATTAGAAATACAGAGAGTTTTATAAAATTTGAAACATTAAATTAGTCCCAATTCCACAGGTTCTGCTTATTAAAATGTTTAACATATGTAAACAAGCATGAAAACAGTTCTGTAAGGTCTGTCTCCAGTCAAAGAATTAATAGTCAAACAAGATGTATCTATTTCATTAGCTCATTTCAGGAAATGAATCCAACCCTCTGATACTTCTGCCCCGTCTCTGTTTGTATGAAGAGATCCAGGCCTCTGTGGCGCTGTTACATCAAAACTTTTTCACATGTGCAGGCTGCTGATGCAAAGAAGAAACTGTTCCACTCTGGGTGTGAGTGTGGAATGGATGCTCTCAGAGCCTCTTTCTATTTCTCTTCTTTTCTTCTCCTCAGCTCAACACTTTAGCATTATTTCCCCTCTCTTCTTATTAGAGATGAGCCCCATGCAAAATGCCTCCAAATTTTATGGGTATTGGAGATCCAAACCTGGATCTGACTTTTTCAAACAGCCCCTGGCTGGGATTTTCCAAGGAGCCTGAGGTAGTTGGACACCCAACTCCCACTGAATTTCAAGGGGACTTGGACCCCTAGCTCCTTTACACTCATTCGAAAAGCCTGGCCCCCAAATTGTGGATTGAGAGGAAGGACAGTTCAGTGGACATTAGCCGGAGCCCTGTGTTCAAATCCCTTCTCCACCACAGACTTCCTGTATGACCTTGGGCAAGTCACTTAGTCTCTCTGTGCTTCAGTTCCCCCTCTGTAAACTAGGGATAATAGCACTTCCCTACTTCCCAGAGGTGTTGTGAGGGATTACAGATGAAGGTGCTCAGATAGTATGGTAATAGGGGCCACATAAGTACCTAGGATATGTCTATACTGGAACTGGAGGTGTAATTTCCAGCTCAGGGAGACACACCTGTGATATCTCTGATTGATCCAGTGCAGTAAAAATAGAGTGTAGACCTGGCAGCGGGAGGAGCTGCCCCGAATATGATGCCGTCCAAGACGCTAGGGACATACTCAGAGTAGCTAGCCCCTTCTGCTGCTCTCACCGCTGGAGCTCCGCTTTATTTTAGCATGCTAGTTCAGCCAGAGCTAGTGTGAGTATGCCTCCTCAGGCTGGAATTCACATCTCCAGACTGAAGTATAGATGTGTCTTAAGACAGCTAGATCCTGTACTTTGAGGTGTGTGAAATCCAGATCTGTCATCTCTATCTTGCGGCCCACTTTTGCCTCTTATTTAGTAAAATATAAAGACCATGGTTTTATTTCCTTTATCCTGGAACTCACAGAAAGGTGTCTTAGGCAGTGGTATGGCCTGATTCCAAAGGCTGAGAACAGGCTACCAGTGTGTTATGCAGCATGTGGATTGATCCTTTCTGGTTTTGTGACAGATAAACAATTAAAAATAGACTGAGAAAAGGCACTGCTAAAAATGTATCTAAGTACAGGATGGTGCTATATATTTAATGCATATTCTTTTCAATAATGTTCACTTCTGTGTTCCTCCCAAATGAATAAACATAGGACCTGAACCTGCAGTTTTTACTCAGGCAAAATTCCCATTGAGTTGGAGACACCAGGTCCTTCTTCCTTTCTCCCCAGTTGTCCTTCCAGCAGCAGTCTGCAGTCCAATGAGCCCTGGCTGAGGAAGGCTTGCAGGACTGGGGAACTGTTTTATATTTCAGAAGGAATAAGTTTTATAAGGGAAATGTTGAGTATGTTATTTAAGAAGATAAGAAACATTTTTTGGAAGCTGGTGAGTGGGACAGCTGGTCTAGCAGATAAAGCAGGTCTTTTCTCAGGCACAGTTCCTTTAAGGCCCTGGACCAGATTAATCCCTACAGTGGTGCAGTCATTGGTGCTGAGACAGAGAAGAGGTGGTGGCTTCCACTTCACCTCTGCAGGAGTTGTGGGGCTGGTGCAGTGCCCCACAACAGGTTAGGGCAGCCCTACCTTGTGCTTTTGATACAATAGCTACTATCGACCACTTCAGTGGAGAAGAATAGCAAGAACACAGATCTGCTCTGGTTACTCTACCTAATATTCAATTCTACCCCAACACCGAACTACCCTGGAACTGCATAAGGAGAGAATCACATAGAAAGAGTTCATCTTGTGCTACAGCCCAGCTGTCTAACAACTGTGGGGACTCTGTCTCCTCTGGATTTCCTCTCTCTCTGCTCATAGTTTTCTGGGTTCCCTCTGAGGGC